GTTTTGAAGAAATTTAAAAAATCTTAGGAGGTGCTTCAGAAATGAAAGACCAATCTGAAGTTGAGTCTCGCTAAAGCAAATTGTTCCGAAAGGAAGTGCTTACCTGGGACATGTTATCTCTGCCAGAAGGTGTACGCACGATCCTAAAAGGTATCAGCGGTTTTAAATCCTGAAACGTCCCGAAATGTCCATAGCTGAGAAGCTTCCTAGTCTTTGCACCTACTATGGAGATTCGTGAAGGACTTTTCTTCCATCGCAAGACCCCTTCACACTGACAGAGAGCAAGCAAACGTTCTTGTGGACTAAAAATGCGAGGATTTAATACTTAAAGGAAGCTTTAACATCTGCTCCAATCCTGACTATCCTCAGCTCGGCAGACCATTTATTCTCGACACGGAAGCGAGCAAAAGTGTCGGTGCGGTTTTGTCCCAAAATAGACGGCCAAGAACGGTAGTAGCGTACTGAGCAATGCCTGTCTAAACCGAAGAGGAATTACTGGGTCACCAGGAAGAGTTGCTCGCATAGTCAAAGCTTTAACATTTCCATCATATCTATACTGCAGAAAAATTCTCCTCCGCCGGACCATGCTTCATTGGCTGGCTTTTAAATTTCAAGATCCTGAGGGCAAATCCAGGGGGATACAGGACTCCAGAATGACATCACTATCGTCATCGTCAGGGATTAATCACAAGAGAACGCCGCGCCCTGTCTAGACGACCTTGCCCAGAACTATTGTTGCCGATATTGTTCCAGGGTGGAAGCGAGATACGAGGTGCGACCCGGTCGCAAGACAAATTACAAAATCACCTTGGTGACGAGACCCGTGGAGTGATGATGAAGTCAGGAAAGACAGAGTGGAAGACCGCGCATAAACCCATAATGATTTAATGGAGTCATCAAACAAAAAACCTACTTGGCAGGACATTTCTATCTGTAGTCCTACCACAAACAAACTGGGCACTCTGGGATTCACTCACATTCGAAACGCGTCTATACCGGAAATTCGAATGGAGAGAGCAGACGTTTCCGATGGCAACTATACTTCCAAGACCCGGATTCCGATGTCTTAAGAACTACATAACGCCCACAGGGGTCACTTTGGAATTATGAAGACCTTACAGAGAGTTCTGAGCGTTACTGGAATAATGCAAAGGATGACGTGCAAAGTGGTGCCCGATCTGCCGATGCCTGTGCAGGTAAAAGGACCGAGAAAACCAGCCGAGGCAAGCGCAACGTACAACGTAGGGGCGCCTTTTGAACGTATCGCCTTACATCCTGGGACCTCTGCCGCGAACTGCTGATGGCAACAATACATACTCGTTTCATTGATTACTTCAAGTGGCCGAACTTATCCTATTCTGATCAGAGGCTGTCACCGTACGGTAATGACAGCATGGATTTCCAGGTCGGAGTGCCTCCTCAGGTAATTCCATCAGAGAAGAATTTTGCCTCGGCAGTTAAAGAACTATGCAAACTACTCGGCATGACAAAACTCAAACTACGCCATTGCTCCCCAGTAGGACGCCATGAGAGAGGCAATCGAACCATCCTTATAACCTCTCATAGTGGTTTCCAAAACCAACAGGACTGGGACAAGAAATTACCACTCTTTTACTGGCTTACGCAGTGCGTGAGTGAGTGAGCGCCACCAAGGAAGACCACTGACCTGGCCTTAGCCTCACAGTGTGGTTTCTTCCTGGCAGAAACCATCTACTCTCTGCTCCATCCTGCTCCGGGAACGCAGCCGAATAGACGGCTAAAGCCTCATAAAGTCTACCATATAAGCTTGGATGTTGTTGTACGGGGAAAGAGTATCCTGTTAGGAACTACTTAAAATTAAGCAAAGAGCAATCAAAAGACTGTATAAGAACGCTGTTAGAATAGACAGAAAACTTGTGTTAGATAAAGTAAAGATAGAGGACTTGCCTGAAAAATTAACTGCCGTGGATTTTCTGGACTTGCTAAATGTCTACATGCGGGTGCTTATCCTGACACTACTGTCATATCTTTATGGGGCTTCTGTGAAATCGTTGGTCCTGCATGGAGGAAAGTTGTAACCTATTAAATTATTGCATATAGTAAACTTTAAAAAAAAGTAATAAATAAATAAAAAAAAATAAAGAGAGAGATTAAAAGATGATTAAAAAAATCCTAGTGCCCAAACATAATTTAACGCAGTTTACTTTCCATGTGCCTGACTCTTATGTAAGAACATTTAAAAGAATGGGTACCTGTTATCACTAAGATAACAAATTCCTGCATAATTTAGTTCTTTGCGCATACTTAAACTGTAGTTGTTTTACAAATTGAACCATTCACCTACATTTTCTTTCGTAGTACTTGCAGACAGGATAATACATACGTAAGTACAAAACTGAATATTAAAGTGAAAAACTAACATGATACTGAGTACAGAAATACAGAAAGCTGATCCCTAATGCCTGCATACATAACACTTAAAAATGCATACATAATACATGAAAACTAAAAATAAAACTGATAAGCATAATACATAAAACTGATCGTTAAGTACTGCTATGTAGTCTAAATCCTAGCCAAGTACGAACTGACCTTCATAGTACATGCAGAGAAGGAATAAATACAGACTTAAATACTTTAAAGTGAACATAAACAGAAAAGTACAGCACCATACTCAGTAAAACTGATATCTGATTCCAAACACTTGAATACATAATGCTGATACATAATTACAAAGAGAAACTTACCTACATTAATTCCATAGTTAGTTTTATCACCTTAGAACATGCACATAATTTATACAAAACATAATTAAGCACGTAATGCTGATCACTAGGGAAGAGATTCAAACATGCAATTGATCACATAAATACAGATATTTCTTCCCTAAATTTTGCATAAAAAGTTGAAAATTTATTAAAATTAAGAAGGCAAAAATGCCATACAGATAATAATATCATTCATAAACTTGAGGTGATAACATAAGTTGACCTTGCCCTTCTTGAACCTATTTATCAAAAACTTGTAATTTAAATACACGATTAATAAGTGTAGGAAAAACTCATTGCTGTTGAAGATTTTACTGGCACGATCTGGTCTTGCGAGTCCTAGACCTGTACATTAATTGCAAAAGTAAAATTATAAAGAATATAGGCAGGTTGTTGCTATAGTCCTAATTATCTAAGTTAGTCTTGGGTTGAGAGGTTCGAGGTGTGTGCCCAGATTGATTTAGTGTGATTTATACATTTTATGATTCAGAGCGCTAAGCACTTGATTATTTCTATTTGGGGACACTTATCGTCGTATTAGAGAATACTTTCTCTGACAATGGCTGATTACCGCTTGTAGCTTTTTATTTGCTGTTTTGTTTGTTCTCATATTTGCCGCCCATTGTGGCCAGTAAGCTGGACTTTTTTTTGGCTTTCTTATATGGTACTGTGCCGTGTTGGTGCAGTGGAAGACGTAGTGGTCTGGATCCCCCACCTCTCCACATTGACATCTTTCTGTGTCACTCAGGCTGAATCTATGCAGATAGGTCAGGAATGGGCCATGACCTGTATAAAACTGTGTCTGACTACCACTATTGCAGTTTAACTCTAGCGTTGTTTTTGGGAAGAATATATACGTTCTCCTTCCTGTATCTGCTGTGTCCCATCTGGCTTGCCATCTGTCTATCAGTTGTTTTAGAGTGATCTTTTTGAGATGAGACCTAGGTAATTTATCTGGCAGTTCTGTTCTTGAGACCTCCTTTGCCGCTTCTTTTGCCAGGGTGTCTGCTTCCTCATTGCCTTTAATGCCCACGTGAGGCATGGCCTTTCTGATGGTAGAAGACTGAGGAGGATTTTTCTAATTTCTTGGACGTACTGGCTTCTACTTTTGTAACCTTTGATTGCGTCAAGGCTAGAGGCAGAATCACTGTAAATAGTAATGTGGATAAGTCTCTTCCTCTTCACATAATTAATTGCTGCTTTAAGTGCTGCCAGCTCAGCTTGGAATACTGAGTTCCTAATGCCAAGTCTTCTTTTCCATTTATACCCAGCTGTATTACCTTTTAGAACGCAGAAGGCACTGCCAGTACCCGTCTCGGTTTTTGAGCTATCTGTAAATATAGCTGTGTGGTTATCTTTTGGTGTCACATAGTGACCTAGAATACACTTTTTTAGATGTGTTTCAGCCGGATGTCCTTGCGTCACTGGCTTGTGTTTTTCAAAGTCTTCAGCAAAGTGGTGTTGTTCCCATAGAACTCCATCCTCACCTAGCTTTAACACTCTTGCAATTAACGACTCCCTTTCCGCTTGCAGGTTTAGCGGAGGAATTCCTGATAGAACCTGCAGAGCTGTCGTTGAAGTAGTTCTGTAGCCCTTGCAGATGAACAAGAGTTGCAGCCTTTGCATGGACAGGAGTAATCTACGCATGCTTACGTTGAGTGTATTTCCCCAGATCGCTACGCCGTAGAGAACAATTCTTTCTGTTATTGCTTGGTACCACCTCTTAAGCACCCATGGTGGTGCTCCCCACTGCAGTCCTGTTGTGCGTAGCATTGTGCTTGTGAGTGCGATACATCTTTTCCTGAGTTCTTGTGCTGTCTATGAGACTACCGGCTATTCTCCATCACAGATGCTCTTCGGTCGTGACCTTCGTCTGCCTTGTGATCTATTGTTTGGTCGCCCTCCGGATGCTCCTTCATCGTCTGAGGAATAAATTCAAGATCTCCAGGCCCGATTTGAGGTGATGCACAACTTTGCACGAGAGCGAGTCAACTTGGCGACGGAGAAGATGAAGACCCGATACGACATAAGAGCTTTTGTCAATGCCGAGTAGTTTGCATAGTTCTTTGATTACTGCCGAGGCAAAATTCCTTCCCTGATCGGAATGTAACTGAAGAGGCACTCCGAACCTGGAAATCCAGTGCTGTATCATTACCTCAGCTACTGTGACAGCCTCTTGATCAGGAATAGGATAAGTTTCAGGCCACTTGGTGAAGTAATCAATGACATCAATTCCACGAAGGAGACAAGGTGTAGTTGTGGAATCCGACTCGACGGAAAGGACTTTGTCCGAAATTACAGTCACCTTGGGATGTTCCGTACACGGTCCTAAACAGACTGAATGACGTCGTGGTTCGGATCCGTAAGTCTTCGAACTCGTTCATTACGACAGGTTAGCTCATTATTATGGCCATAGTGAGGAATGTAAATAATTGTAGATAGTATAAGAGCATGGTCCTTTTTGTTTTTAAATGTGTATTTGATTTGATTTGTATTTAGTATTTGATATGCATTTAGCATTTGATTTGTTTAAGTTAGTTATTGCATTTATTGTTCATGTTGTTTAATATTGTAATGTAATGCTTATGCCTCAGTTGCATTTATGCCACAGTTGTAAGTTTAGCTTCCTGTCCAGGGATTGTACTGCCCGGGACGTGCAGTCCTTGGGAAGGGGGCAGTGTTACGAATTTGGTATTTAAAAAGCTAATGTTAGTTCAATTATAAATTAAAGGGTTTTATTTCTCGCGCAGTGCAGCGCGTGGACGAATATTAAAAGAAAGCTAAGCCGGAAAATTGAAAATACAAGAGCGCGTGCATTAAATAAATAAATATCTTTTTGATTTCGAGAAAGTACTGGAAAATTCTAGCGCGTGATTTTTAAAATCTTATAAAAGGAGGAAAACATCTCAGTTCGTGGTAGTTGCTTAGTTTGTTGTTGTTTAGAAAACTGCTCTTGTTGATTGTAGCGAATTCGCGGATTAGCGTTCTTTAGCTGTTTTGAATTACGTTCTATTGGACATTTGAGTAGTTAAAAGATAACTACTGTGAGATATTGTAATACTGCATGATAATTTGAGAAAATTTAAGCATTTTTGTTGTGATAATAATAAATTTTTGTTCATTTTTCATCGGACTTGTGCATTCATTTCGTAACGAATCCGTACGCACGCAACAATATGTTTAGTTTTCTTCAGGAGTTCTCAACCATTGGTACGCAAGAGAAAAATAGGTGGCACGCAAAGAAGCAAAGTATTTTTAACTATTAAATTCAAAAATTAAAACCCCAACATCCTGATTGAGATTTTTTTCTAACACTCATAAATTTATGCGATCTGAGCTTTGTTCAGTTTGTTTGAGTGGTGGTGATAGTAGTACTTTGTAGTTGGTGGTACTAAAGGTTTTCAATTTTTGTTTAGATGGTACGCATTAATCAAAAGGTTGAGAACCGCTGGTTTACCTCTCATAAGGCAAACCTTTAATAAAGTATTTAATTCCAAGTTTGGAATTTTTACTATCATTATCAGCTTTGCTACAGGAATAAAAAAATTAATTAGAAAAATCTTAGTTAATTTCCACCCTCCTTTAATGGCATTTAGCAACATTCTTCAGTTTTTATTTCTGTTACATGTGGAATGTCGAAAATAATTTTCATGCACGTAATACAAGTTTTCAAGTGTTATCAAAATAGAAATATTTTTCTTTTTTAATTTATGCGAATAATGCTAAGAGTTAGCTGTGTGCCAATATCGAAGACTGCTACTTCTTTAGAAAACAAATTCTTAAGATTACGTGAAAAAAATTCTTTTGGGAAAAAATTGTATTCACAGTAAATACGAGGGTTGGAACTTTAATAGTGGCAACACAGCTGAAAAAACGCTACGCAACAAAACCAAAGAATATCGCGTATACCACACGTAAATTACATACCTACCTTACCTCTCAGCAAAAAGACTCGTCCTGCCTACGTCACGCGCATGCAGAGTGACGCGAAGAACGAATCCTTGTATTAGCTCGCGGTCTAAAGTATTTGTTGTCGGGATGTTTTCAAAACAAGAACAATGTTGTTGGATAAAAATTGAAAGTGCCAGAGGTCGTACAGCACGACAGTGTCATCAAGGGCTTATAGAGGCTTGCGGGGAATCTGCATTGCCTTACAAAATCGTAGCAAGATGGGTGAAAGCATTCAATGAAGGACGCCAAAACGTGGCAGACATGCTGCGGCCAGGTCGTCCTAATGTCAGCGATGCAGACATGCAAGCTGTTGCGCTTTAATTGACAGTGATCGCCGCCAAACGATTCGTCAGCTGGCCGGACAAACAGGATTGGCGCATACGACTGTGCTGCACATTCTTGAACGAACGCCTGTCCATGAGAAAAATTGCTTCACGGTGGGTTCCACATGAATTGACGGAAATGCAGAAATGGCTACGATACGATGCTGACAATTCCTTGTTTCTTTTAGAACTTGTGATGAAAGGTCCAAGATGATCAATGTGTATTGTTGCAAAAGGTCAGCGGTCTGGGGGTATAGGATGCAGAAGACCCTGTCTTTTTTCACCTCAAATTTTGTTGACAGGAAACCAGAACAGTTCTTTGATTTTTGAGACAGTCCTATCAACAGCATAAAGTCCCATAGGGTCATGAAACTTCACAACTATGCTTTTTTTTCATGCTTTTAGGTACGACGTATAATAACTTCTTCTTCTCCATCCTCCACAATACGGAACAGTCTATTCCTTTTCAAAATATAATTCTCCACATTTTGATTTTCTTCTTTGGTTCTTTCACTTCGGTCTTTCTTCAAAATTGTTATTAATTCTCTTAACTTTTCATCTGCATGCTGTATCATAAGAATTTGTTCGTCTAAATTTAAGGTTAGACAAACATCTAAAAGTTATCTTCTATCAAAGGAATGCATGGTGTCTGATGAATCAATAACAGGTGCTCTACTGATTGCATATCGAATATATGAGACATTTTAATTCCCTGGTTTGTGGCGTATTTCAAAATTATACTCTTGAATAAGGATACTCCAACGAGCAATTTGGGGATTGCTAGATTTCTTTGCATTCATGTAAACCAATGCTTGGCAGTCGGTAACTACCGTAAATTCAATACCCGAGTAAGAAATTGTCGAAGTCTATCTAGAGTCCAGACAATTGCCATTAGCTTCAAGTTTACTCGAGTGATAATTCTTTTCAGCTTCCGTTGTCATTTTTACTCACGCAGTAGACAAGATGCCATTTGCCGTCACTTCCGAGTTGAAGTAACATGCCCTCTGAGCAACTGAAGTAACCCTCTGAGCATGCATCAGTATGGACTTCTGTTTGAGCTTTAGGGTTGTACAGAGCTAAAATTGATTCGTCAGTTCATTTTTCAGCACTGTAATTCGTCAGTTGATTCGTCAGTTAAAATGATTCGTCAGTTCATTTTTCAGCACTGTAAAAAGAATTCCTCTGACTTTCTTCCCATCTGAATGTTTGATTTTTCTTAGCTAGTTGAGTCAATGGTCCAGCTTTAATGGCATAATTTGGAATAAACCTTCTAAAAAAAAACTTGTTAAAACTAAGAAATCGTCGAACTTCATGAACGTTTTTAGGTTCTGGGAATTTTTGATATTACTTCAACTTTTCTTGATCCCGGCTTTATTCCGTTTTATTGATTATAAAGCCTAAATATTCTATTTCTTGTTTGACAAATTCACATTTCGGTACTTCAGGGTTAGTTTAGCTGCACGTAGTGCTTCGAATACTTTAATTAATTTCTGAATCATTTCTTCCCAAGTCCTTGCTGGAACAAGTATATCGTCAAGGTAGCACAACACTTCTTTATTACATAATGAGGATAATGCATGATACATCAATCGTTGAAATTTCGCAGGAGCGTTAGTCAAGCCAAATATCATTCTTTCAAATTGTCCGAACTTTCACCACGGTGTTCTGAAAGAAGTTTACCGCTTTTGGACACTGGTGGGGTACAGTTAATGGAATCTGTAAATATCCGTGTGCTAAATCTAGCGTTGTAAACAGACTACACTCATGCAACTGTTCTAATAAATAATCTATTTTAGGCAGGGGAAATTTATACCTTTATAGTTTGAACTATTGAGACGTCCTGTAATCAACAACTAATCTGTATTCACCGGTCTTTTCTTTACCGGTATGACAGGACTAGCATATGGGGATCGCGTTTCTGTTACAATTCCATTTTCTTTCCATTCTTGAAACTATTTCTTTGATCGCAAGCTCTTTCAGAGGCATTTGTTCTATAAGGCTTCATACATACTGGCTTTGAACCTTTCGATTTCCTTTAATGTCCATTTTTAGGAGATCTGTGCACCCTAGTTCTGAAATATTTTAGTGCAAAGCAATCTCTGTATTCATTCAGAAGACACAATAACTCTTGCTTGGTGATCAACGTTCGAGATCCGAGCCAATTTTAACTTGGCTTAAACTTATAGGAACTTTTATGTTGTTAATATTTTCCCTTTTTGCTAAGGGTTCGAGGTTCAATTCAGAAATTTCAGTATTTAAACATAGTTCAACTTCTGCTCTCCCAATGCATTGATCTTTTTGGAGCCTAACACTTCTATCGCCAACGTTAATCACTGGTATACAAGTTTCGCCATTTTTAATTTCTAATAAACAGCCTATACCTTCGGAAGGATTTTCTATCATAATTAATCCATTATCTACAGAATCTGTTTGAGAACTGACAAGACTGATCGTATTTTTCTCTAATTCATTTTTCTCAAGAGCTTTAAGGCAGACTCG